TTTTATTCACAAAGAATCGTGTCATGGGAGCATTCACATTTTTAATAATAAATAGTTTATGACCAAAATTCCCAATGTATTTTTCAAGTTAAAAACTTCAAACCTTTGTGTTTAACTCCTAGCGATGAATGATGAAAAGTAGATAAACATGGGACTATTTTATTGTAAATTCTGCCAAACATACCTTTACGAGATGACGGACAGTTTGCGAATGTCCATTAGGGTTTGCATCGGAAAAGAAACTGTATTGTCTGTCATTCCAAATGCATCAACTCAGACACTTCCGCGATCCGCAATCAACGGTCTTTGTCCGTGTCTGTCAACGTGCCCCTCTCAATTGATTTTATGAGGCCTTTCAAAACAACAGTTGTCAATCATTATCAGTTGCGTTTATTTTTACTTTCACTTCGGGGTTGGATCGTGAAAATCTCATTTAAAATAAATATACTTGTTTACCTACATCGACTGATGGGATACTTTTCAAGTTCTCATTACGCTTGCTTTCTACCAATGCTAAATTCCCGGATTCGATCCATAGTTGAATCGAGGGGTTCACACTACTGATTAGAACCCCTCTGGTTCATACAACTATCGAGTGCTTTCTAGCTCTTCACTAAACGCTTCCCTCGTTCTGTGCGTGACGAAATTCACCAGCTAATTTTCAATATATCTTCCTTGTGCATTTGTTATTCTTTGTCTCGCTCTCATGCACCTAGGAACTTGGAATATCCATTTACCAGACCCCTGTTAACTTTCTTTCTTCGTGTTTAGTCAACAAATAAAAAAAACCCGTTTTTATTCGAGTCCCGATACATTTCTGCGTTTCTTTCTTTCCTTCGCCGACTCAAGTTATCGATACTTTTTTGCTGTTTCATGGTTACCATAAAGTAACTCTGACCAGCATACATGCAGTCGAGTACAGTATTACACAAAATTATTAACAGAAGGAATGGTGTAGCATTTGATCATTCGGAAAAGATTGGTTACCATTTCGTTTCACGTTGTAAAGGAACCCATCAACCCATCAGAGAATGCTCCGCATAGCATCCCATCTTGTGTCATACTTATTATACCGGTATGTGAACTGATTGCGTTCAAGTGGCCGATATTAGTACGATATTTTGTAAACTATCTTCTTGTCCGTGTTTTATATCAGAATGGATTTTATGTGACAGTGTATCAGATCGAAATTTAGATAATTTGAGTTTTACATTTGTCTTATTTCTGCATTATTTAAAAAAATGAAACACTATAAAGAAACTCAAACATTCTCACATGCAATGAATGTCTGGTCATCAAGAATTCTGATACATTCAAAAGCTCAATATTGAACTGAGTATCTACATCTCGACTGCTTTCCCTTTCTTTGAACTCATCAAATTTGAAATTTTTGTACGATATGTTCAAAGTGAAATGGTTTCCGTCCCAACAGGAAACACGATTACAGGAAAACCGAATGAAGTGCACCGAAAATTTTGCTGTAATTGAAATTAAAATTTAACATTTTCATCTGGGTATAGCATAGTTTTCTTGTAACTAAAAAAAGTTTGTATTTTATACTAGGAATAAGCATCTTTGTGGGTGTAGAATCGTCTAAGGCTAACGTTGTACAACAATTTTTATGGCTTTTCAGCTTCCGCATTCAACGGTTTCTAAAAAGGTTTGATAACCTCTTCAATTTCGTGTTACGGAATTTATCTTCTCAGTCACTCTCTATCAAAGCGATCGTCTGCTGCATGAACTATTAGTTTTCCCTTGCAATCGCTCATACCGTTCATTCTTTATTCTAAATCAATCTTATTCAGTATCAAATAGTTTTTTCTGGAAATTCTCTAGACAGAAATCTGCATCTACTAACGATCGATCTAAACACATTGATAATCCGCCATATTCGTGGACAGCCAGAACAGAAAACATATTGGGTGCGAGAATGTGCTAAAGACGAGGACTCAGTTTAATCAAGCGAGCTTAAACGCCTCATGTAGTTTAACACCAGCAATTGCTCTTTACCGAAACGACAGTGATCACGAGGTCGCCCACTAAAGGCATCACATCATAGATGGCGCACCTCATATCATTTCCTTTTGTCCAAAAGTTCTTTACAATGCTTTGAAGTTGCCATGGCATTACCTAACCACCTGTAGATTATTTGCATGACCAACAACACTATCAATCTTTGTGTTGTTATTTTTGTCAGTTTACGACAGACAATCGTAGAAGAAGAACAATCCTTTTTACAATATCTCCCGCCGAATGTGGTAAGGACAGATTAACTTACTCGTGGTTTCGCAAACAGGTGAACTTGTTATCTTTCAATGTTGATGCGATGCGTCATACTGCAAGTTAACCATCCAGATTTGCTTAAAGCACCGCATATAGAATACATGAGATACAGTAAAACACTTTCATTTATCATTGTGCTCTAAGCAAAGGTTATATAATCAAAACACAGGTTGTAGGCGAACATATGTTTTCGGTGAGTTCCTTATCAAGTCAGTACAATCACATTCATGTGAGAAAATAACGGGAAAGTGTTGTGTTGGGGTCAAACAGTCAAGGTCAGATAATTATAGCAATAGCGTGGGGTAGGAACACATTTGTCACTCGTTCTCATGTTCAGATAAGAACGTGTTACGTAATCGTTGATAATCGATTTGGGTCATCGCAACGCTCATGCGTGATGTTGTTCGCTTTGAGCCATGGAAGTTTGAGTGCCTGAATAAGTGTTTTTTGAGCACACAATTCTGGCTTCAACAAGCAGATGATAATTGCCTCGGCTGTTGCTAGCTTTTTAATTCGAACAGCCACGGAATTGTGTTGTGGGACGCGATGGATGATGGTGAAAGCAGAATTAGTATCCACCCTATGTCCAGTTTCGACTAAGTGCGCAACAATGACACTGGAAATAACTCCGATTCCTCCGTGTCTAAGCCAAGTAGGTTGATGT